TCAGGACCGCCGAGAAGCTAGTAGAAAATTTCGACTCTGGGGGAGTTTGTTCGGATGGGCCTTATGCTTTCTGAAGCACCAAGGGGTTCCCAACACTTCGGGAAACACTCAGCCGAGTCTCTCCAGGCCTCAGTTGCGTGCCACCTCTGAGCAGCCAGAAAGAGACAGGCCGCATCTTGCGCTGGTAACGTGAGAACTCTTTGGGCGTCATGGGAGGCGATGAATGGCCAGGACAAGCGAAGAGGATTGGCATCGACTTTGGTCTTATGCTGTGTGCTCGCAACGGCCTCGGTGACGGCCAACCGATCTCTGGAACAGGGGTGCTTGAGTGGTCAGCCAGACAGGTCGAAAGCACCACTCAGGTTGCAGTAATTGCTTTGTGAGCTCTGAGAGGCTCGGCGACGAAGCGCCACAGGGCCAACCAGAGACCAGTTGCATTGGTGGGTGACTCTGCAAATGGGCTGCCGGAGGCTGCCGTGTCTCTGTGACCATGTGTGCTTTAGCTCGGCGCCATGCGTGCTGTGACTGCTATGTAATTGAGATGCGTGTCATACATTATTCTAGTCGGCTGCTTCAATCGGGGGCTGGCGCGTTGGGGACGAGTAGAGTGCCGAGACTCGATGTTGCAGATGGGACTTTGAAGCCGCCGTCCACAACCGCCGGCGTGAGATGAAGACATGGTCGGCCGAGATGGCCATGCGGACTGCGGAGTGACGGTCATCCGGGACTTGTGCCCCAGACTATGATCTGTGTTGACAGGCAAACAAGGCCGTTGGCGCTGTTCAATTTGGCATGGTTGGGCTTGGAAACTGAGATTGAAGGCGGCTTGGAAATGAAAAGGCGGAGTCCACTCAATCTTGGTGAGCATTTTGGGTTGGCAAGCCTGTTTCCGCCATGCCTGCCCGGGCAGGAACGCCGGCGCTGGCTGGGAAACCTTCAATTAACAGCATGCTGGCTTCCATGTGTCAGAAAGACCCTGTGGCTGCGGTCTGAAGATGTCCGCGCGATGGCTGGCGTCTAAGGACTGTCTCTGCCGTGGCGTTTCTTGATCGCACCTAAGGTACCTTAGGCGGTTGCTAACTAGCATACCTCACCGCCGGTGCTGCTTAGGTGCCTTAGTTGCTGAGACTAGCTCAACGGTTTCGGCGCCTTGGAAGTGAGAGCGAGAAATGTCTTGAGACGACGTGGCCCTATTCTTTCTTTTTGACGTCGGAGACCGACCGCCAATATGTTTGCTTCTTTTCTTGTCGTTTTGATGGACCCTTAGAGTCAGGGCCTTGCAGTAAGTAAACCGGGGGCATCTCGAGTTTGCCTCTTCTTTTTCAGCTGTATCCGTACACACGACGTAATTGACAGGGCACTGCTCAGCCCTAAAGTCGGTTGAGTGCTGTTTTTGCCTTCAGGTGCCACACACAGCTGGGCCAGCCTAGGGGTACCATGTCGGCCCGTCCAGGTGGCCATGCCCATGTCCATATGGTGTACATTCCGAGGAGCACTATGCAGTACATTGATTGAGAGGCCATTTTGCGCAGTGCAGTACGGATACGGCGAAACCGCAACATGGAGTCTTCTTCGTGGTGGACCGACGTGGCAAAGAGTCGTCAACCTGTTGCGTTTATTTTGGTCGGGACAGAACAGAACCAAAAACAGGTTGCGCAAAGTGCGACAGGCGTTGTTCGTGTCTTCCTTTGCCGTCTCGTCGGTCTCTAGTCTGTGCCCCACGAGACGCACGCCTTCGGCACTTCTCAGTAGCATCTCCATTCTCGAAGGCTGGGGCTCTTGCTATTCGTGCCTCGCTGGCGTCCAGCTGACTCGCGCCAGCAAGCCACGCACCTCAGCGGGACTGTTTAGCCGCCTTTGAAACGCTCGACCGCGTACCAAACAACGGGATGGGACTAAAAGATGGCCAAGAGCCGTTGATCCATGATGTGGCAGAGGAGGACCGTCGAGCCTGACCTGACCAAAACGTGTCCCGGAAGGACAGCAGCCGGCAGAAGCTGTGGTTCACGTTGCGATAGTTGTGCCTCGGCTCTGCGAGCTCCAGGAGGGGGAAGAGAGTGAGACACGGAGATGCATTGTAACGAGAGAGACGTCAAAGGGCGAGACATTGAGCTGGTGGTGTCTTAGACATGCAGCAAATGGTGCCGTGCCGAGGATGTGGTCAACGACGGCGATGGAGGTGAGGGATCTGAGTCAACAGGTGGTCGGCGGTGCGTCCGATTTGCGCCACAGGACACAGACAGGATGGATGGCAGGCAGGATAGATGAATAGCTGGTCGTGTTAAGCCTCCAGGCATGAACGGTTGGTAGAGGCTGAGCGGGATTGGTGGGACGCGGCAGTGTTGGGAAACCTCCAGTGACGACAGTTGACTAGGTCAACTTGACGGGAGGCCGTCGACAGTCGAGGGAGCCCTTGGTCACTCGACAGGTTCCAAGGAGATCTGCCGGACGTTGGCTAGCGGGCAGGTTGATTTTGAGGTTAAGTTTAGGTCGAGATCGAGGCCGGACTAAGGCGATGAAAGAAACGTCGTTGAAGGACGCGGTCGACATGCGGCGGCCAGGGCGGCAAGACAATGGAAAGGCCCCAACCGCAAGACACGACGGATTCGCCTGACATCACATTGGAGAATACGTATTCAGCACCGTGGAGAGAACGACCCAGGGAGTTGGAAAGACATGGAAAGAGGTTGCTTGCCCCTCGGTGGTGGTGGTGATCAGTGGTCGCCTCGGCGGCAGCCACGCCACAACGTCAAGGGTTCCTAATTGTGTGAAGGATGCTATCTGCCTATCAGCAGCTCACCTGCCTTTCTCAACGAAGCATGGTCCATCTACAGATACCCAGGTCGGTGTTGTGTTTAAAGACTCAATGTGGTCAATGCCTCGTTCTGGGTTGTGACAGGTTGGCGGGCTCGAACCAGCTGTGTGCAACTGTGGTTCTTACTGGGGCAGGCCTGAGTCTAGACACACCAAAGCTCGGGGATCATGACTGAGGACATGTTGGAACCATGTCCTGTGCCCCTCGCGTGATATCAGTCATTGATGAAGCAGCATTGGCACATTGGCACAAAGTGGACGAGAGGCCAAGCCAGCCAACCGATGGGAGAAGCTGCGGTGTTGCGGTTGTTGGAGCGGGTTGCCTGACGGGGGGCATCATGGCGTCGGTTTTCAGCAGGCCGCTCGACACGGCCTCTGGGCGCTGTGAGTGGTGAAGCCGCAGCGGGACGCGGTGCTCAATTGCTGAGCAGCGCCGGGCGGGGGTCCACTGAATATCCTCGCAGAGGCCTGCCAGCGCCCTTTACTGGCTCGAGGTACCTGGTGTCCCTGGCAGCTACCTACCTACCTTAGGGAGGTAGGTATCCATGGATCCCCTCAGTGTCCACCACCAAATTCCCGGCCACACGACAGCCCGGCCGCCCAGTGGCACTGGAGTCGCTGGACGGGCCAGCATCGACGACCCCCGGCCGCCGAAGCGGAGTCCTTTTGGTTGTCCCACGCCCCCCTCCCCCTCCTTCTGGCTGGCGTCGTGCCTGTGCCGCCCCCCTTCCCCCCCTTCACAGTGTTCCCCTTCCCCTTCCCGGTCCCTGGTCCGCATCGGTGCAGCATCCAGCATCCACCCACCTCACCCTTCTTTCTCCACCCCACCAGCGGCCCTCCTCCAGTGTCTCCTCTCATCCTCCTCTTCCTCATCACTTCCCGGCCTTCAACTCCTCCTCTCCAACCCATCTTGGGCCGCCTCTGCGGTGCCTCTCCTCTCTTTTCTGTGCAATCCTGGGCCTGGTCCATCAAATCCATCCTTCCGTCCACCCACTAACATTGCACAGCATCCCAAAGACACCCCTGCCCGTGAAGATTATCGCCTCCCCAATAAGGTGCGCCGCTGTGATGCATCGCCTCATACGCCAACCCGATGCACTCGGCCTGCACAACAACAGAGAGGGTCCCGTCTTTGGCTGCTTGGATCCTTGGGTCCTTGGGTCCTTGAGGTCGCCGCCAGAGAGGGTCATCGGGATTTTCCTAAAAAGACACCCATCATTGCCCATCCAAATCCCCTCCCTCCATTGGCCCTGGGAAAGTTGCTCGCCCCCAACAGCCCATCTTAGTCCCAGAATGGACAACCCATCCAACCCATCACACACACACACACACACACAAAATACCCGTTCCCGAGTCCTGCCTGCCTGGACCATGGAGGACTCGTCGTACCCCAGCATCGACTTCCTAGACCCCCGGCACCACCACCGCGACTGGTTGAACAAACCTGGGCACTACCAGCCTGGCCGAGAATGAGAGGGACTGAGAAACACCCACCCGCTCTGCAGGAACCTACACAAGGGCCAACCTATGCAGCCCAGCTAACGTAGTCCAACGTGAGGTAGTCCACGCCTCCATGTACATAATAGAGTCCCACCCTCCTCCGTCCTGCCTTCGTGCCCTCTGTGATGCTTCCGGCCTCTTCGTCGTTGCTCCCGCTCGAGTCTTTCCTTGATACCACGAGTCTTCCGCCTCCAGCATCTTCCGCCCTGCCTTGTCAACTGCGGACAATGACGGTATCAACACAATAGGTCGCCTGTGACGCACCACTCTCCAACGCCCCGACCCGACTTACACGACCCTCCACCACAGCCACCTTACCTCGATATCTCGACACGACACTACACTCACCCGATCCCGAGTACATACCACAGCTTGGGCTTCAGCAGGACTGAGGACGTCATTTGGAGGACTTGGAAAGACGTACCTCTTCTTCCTTTCTGATCGGAATCTCCCGACAGAGCCCGGCATCAGCTCCGACTCTCCACGCTACGACATTATTTTTTTTCTTTAGTTCGATTCACTAGCCTGCCGCGACTGTCAGTGCGAGATATCGTTCAAGGGTGTGTCAACCAAATCGGGGAAAGGGTGGACAGCACATCGAATATTACCACATCGTCGTCGTATATCACCTTGGTCGCTCCTCAGATCGCTTTCAGATTCGGCGGTTGCTCGTCTCACCCTCAACCATGGCGTACCCCGACATCGCGTCCCGAGGGGGCTGCTTCCCGCCTTTCATCTCTGCGTCCCTTTTTCCAGCCGACGAAGGCTGTAAGTGCCGTCAAAGTGGAATGATGCAACAAGCCGTTAACCTCTCACAGTCATCAGCGGCCGTCTTTGCCAGAACTTGACAGAAACGCTATCATGTTGCTTGCCATGCCCGCTTACAGACTGGGTGTACCCGGACTACTTCAACACCATGACCACAGCAGCCAACTGGGTCTGCGTCGCCAGTGCGGCATGCTGCCTATTTCTCCTCCTTTCCTGGGCCGTTTTGCCCGTCGACAAGACGTACAGACACTACCTGAGCATATGTCTGACGATTGCCGTCTTCATCATGAATGTGAGTTGCCTCCCGCGACGGTGACCACCCCTGATGTCTGACCATATCAGCTTGGCTTTGTTGTCCCCCTCGCCGCTGAGCCGGAGCAATGTTACAACGACATCACGCCCCACAGCATGAAGTCGAGCAAGGTTTGCGGCGCGTCTGGTGCGTTCCTCCTGCTCGGAGGCTGGGCCGGAGTCATGTGGGTATTCCTGCGATCATTGTCTCTGCATCTCCAGATCTGCTGGCAAGTCGTCGTCGGCCGCAATTTCATGATCTTTGCCCAAGCCGCCGGGTGGGGAATTCCAATCATTGGCATTGTCGTCGCCCTCGTCTTCAGCGGCGTGTCGTTTCGTTTCGGGGCAACCTGCCACATCAACCACAAGAACAGTCTTGCCGACTTCTGGATCCCGCTCCTTGTATTCGCCGGCCTCACAGTCATCATCCAGTTCGCCACGTTCGGCTACTGTATCAAGGTCTACCTTGCCTCGCTGGCAGACAACAGCGCATCTACCGAAGGCTCGAGCCTGCCCCAGTACTCTCAGAGCATCCGGACCATGACCCCCCGCCAAGCCTACCGACGAGTACGACGCGTGATCTCACTCCAGTGGAGAGGTATTGCCATCGTTCTCATCATCATTGCCGACGTCATCTTCTTCTCTGTCGTTTTCGTGTTTCAGGACAACACAGTCCAAGCAGTGCACGACGACAAGACCATCGCCGCAGACTGGATCACGTGTATCACCCTCACCAAGGGTGACAGAAGCCAGTGTTACGACAAGGCCAAGAACATGGTTGTCAACGAGGCGACCATCACTGCGGTCTTGATTCTACTTGCGGTAAGAGGAGCTTCCCCTGAGAAGTCGACGGACCCCAAAGACTAATTTGACCATAGATGAACGGCATCTGGCTGCTCTTCCTCCTGGGCCGATGGGCCATGGTCCTCGGTTGGATTGATCTTGCCACCTCCTTGGGAGGCAGGAACAAGAAAGAATTCGTGTCGGTGGATGCCCGATACGACGTCAAGAAAGATACCCGTGCGTACGAGATGCTGTCGAGAGACTCGAGCGCTGTTGTAACACCAGTTTCCCCAGTCAAATCCCCCGTTGTAAGTCCCAACAGCGGACGAAGAACGCCCGACTACTTTGGGCAAACAGCCCGCTACCAACCGCCGATGCGGTCCTTCTCAAGTCCCCGGCCGCCGCAAACACCACCCACTTGGGATGCGCGAGCGACGTACGCCCGGCCCGAGTCGCGAGCCCGGCCAGACGGGTTCGAAGACATGAACCCACTTGGGATGAACAGGATATAATGAGACGGAACGACGACGAATGGAACGAAAAAAAGGAAGGAAAACAGTAAAACTCAAAAAGGAAAAAGAAAAGGGAAGGAGAGAGGGTTTGAGCGAGGAACTAGAGTGTTCCATGCCCCCTCAGCTTCAAACACCTTTTACCACCACCCCACGGACCCGGTCACCAAAACATGGTTCGCATTATTATCGGCCGAAGCATCTGGACACCACCACGTGCTGGGCATTGATATATCAGCCAGCTAACAGAGATGATGTAATGTGGAGGAATAGTCGGCCTTATTGACTGGCCTTGTCACATATTTTTATTTTTTTTCTCTTCATGAACAAAAAACCCCGAACCATGTAATACCAGCGTCGGCGTCTCGGACTTGTTTAGGCAGCGAAGGGACGGGTACAATACCCACAATTTAGAGACTCTGTACCTTTAGAGGGAGGGACGGCGGGAGGCGACAAAGGGAATGTCCGGAGCCTCACCGAGGGGGTGGGAGCTTCGGGGCGGAAAAAGGCCCTTGACGGGATGGGCGGAACGAATCATGATTTGACGGGGACGGACATGTAGGTGTTGTCCAAAGTCCGACGAAAATAACAAAAAAAAATCAAGAGTCACGCGACACTATAATGCAAGTTTGCCTATCAAGTACCGGACCATGCAGGAAGCAACAACACGATTGAGTGGTGAGGAATGAGAGCAGATCCAAAGTACCGAGCAAGGATCATGATGCTGGGTGTGTGAGGGTGAGCATTGCGCGTGTGTGAGTGAGCTGGCGTCGGCGGGATAAGGCAGGACAGCGGTGGTCTGGCAAAAGTAAGCCCAGCCGGAATCTGCGGAATGGACGGCTGGTTGGGATTAACGAATGATGCGAGGAGCGGCGGAGAGGCTAGCGGGAGTCACCACCCATCCCATCCCATATACCGCAAATCTCTGCAGAATGCGCCGGATCGCGCGTATTGTGAAAGTGTTGTTCAAGGCCCCGAATCCCAGCGGCGCCTGGCCGGGGGCCACGGGAAGTGGTGGCTCTTGGTTTTGATTCGATTGATTGTATTCCCAACCCCCAATCCCAGGGCTTCCGCTCCGTCCGGCTTCTTCGGAGGGGGGAACGCACACCACACCCACGACATCACAAATCTGACCGTTCAGTCATGTAAGCGGGAAGTGCATTGCAGCAGGCGCCGCTCGGCTGCCCGATTCTCGTTCGATTCGCCTTGGCGTTTTCATAATTATAAGTAGTTTTGGGTGCGCAAAGTGAGTTATACCAAGAAAGGCTGTTTTTTTACTGTTTTCCTCTTTCCATCGCATCTTCGCTTTGAAACGGATCGCATCGTCAACGCATGGAGGAGGAAGAGCACCCTGCGTAGAAGCCGACTGTCGAACCACAAACACAAGGTGTATATCAATCATCCCGCCGCCGCCACTGCCGACGAAGAACGAACTGTTCATCCTGGCAGCCCTACACTTGGGGAAGCCCACTTGACGAGTGCCTTTTGCTGGCCCAGCCTGAGCAGAGTCCAACGGCAGAACCTCAGCAACGTCCTTACTCCGGCCCCTTCGAGAGGTGCATCACGGCGGTTGCATCTTAGCTGATATTTGCCCGGCTGAACAATAACCGAAGCAGCAAACGACGGATCAGAAGCGGGCATTACCGTTCAACGAATTCAGATTCCAAGAGCCCTTCTCCTCCGGCATCGACGCTGGAGAAGACACAGCGCTACAGCATTGACATCTGGTCGGATTGTGCACCGTTGCGCCGGTTCCCCGGGAACGAAACGAGCCCAAGGACGAGAAAAATAAGAAATCGAAACAAGACGGCCCGCCCGTTGCACACGTTGCGATAAACATCGTCTGTGACGTGCATCCGTCCCGGCACGTGGCTGACAGCATCTACCTTGCCGCCAGCACCACGGCGAGAAAAAGATTGTGAGGTTGCGAGAGGAATAGAGAGTGTGTGAAGTCATTCCACTAATTACCTTACCTTACCTGTCGGCTTCATCGGGACAAGCTTTGCCCCGGCCATCTCCCGTGTCATCGAGGCTTTGTCCTTGCAGCAGTGGAGGGCTGTTCCCGCTGGAAACAGCCTAGCGGATCGAGCTGTGCAGCACCAGCATCAGCTACACCACCACGTCTGATTGGCCAATCTCCATCTTAATCGTTGTCCAGACGCAAGGAACATCAGTAATGCCGTTCGCCGAGATCTTCAAGCTGCCCCCCGGCTTGCCGGCCAGGGTATGGCGCTGGAGCTCGGGACGTCCCCAAGCTGGGACACTGGTTGATGACATCGAGCAACCGAGCACTCCGCCAGCCAGAGGCGGTGTCTACTTCCCCAGCATAGACGATTCTGCGACAGCCGACCATGGAGCTTCCTCCCCCGGCCTCTGCTTCCGAAAGAGAACCCCGTCGTCGTCATCACCATCATCGCCATTTGCAAACCCACCTTCAAAACCATCACGTCTAAGGCCCATCTGCCACCTCGGCTTCATCAGGCTATCGCAGTTCAGGATGTTCCTCCTCCTGGCCTTCGTCTTCCTCGGCGGCTACGTCCACTACCTCTGGAAGGCCGAGGCCGCCCTCGGCGTCGCGTGGACCCCCGACCCGGAGACCAGGCTCTTCGAGCAGCGCCCGCTGCTGCCCCCGATCAAGGAGACGAGCATCGAGACCTACACCCTGCCGCTGCACACAAAGGGCCGCGACGTCGTCGACGAGCACGGCCGCCGCTTCAAGCTGCTGTCCGTCAATTGGTACGGCGCCAGCGACGAGCTCAACATCCCCAGCGGCCTCGACGTCCAGCACCGCGACACCATCGCCCAGACCATTAGAGGGCTAGGCTTCAACAGCGTGCGCCTGCCCTACAGCGACGAGATGGTCATCACCGACCCGCCCGTTCCCGCCGAGCTGCTCTCCGCCAACCCGGACCTCGTCGGCATGCACGCCCTCGACGTCTTCGAGGCCTGCGTGACCGCCCTCACCGACGCCGGCATCGCCGTCATCGTCAACAACCACATCACCCACTCGACCTGGTGCTGCGGCGCCGACCCGTGCGACGCCCACTGGGCCAACGACCATCTCGGCCCGCTGTGCCGCATCAAGCAGACCGAGGAGGACTGGATCCAGCACTGGGAGAAGATCATGCTCCGCCTCGTCGACAACCCGCGCGTCATCGGCGTCGACCTGCGCAACGAGGTCCGCGGGCTCTGGGGCACCATGTCGTGGGACAAGTGGGCCACCGCCGCCGAGAAGGCCGGCAACCGCCTGCTGGAGATGAACAAGGACTGGCTCGTCATCGTCGGCGGCACGGAGTCCGGCAACGACCTCACCGGCGTCGCGGACCGCCCCGTCGTGCTCAGCGTCCCCGACCGCGTCGTCTACTCGGCGCACGTCTACGCCTGGTCCGGCTGGGGCAGCGTCGAGGGCCGCTACTCGAAGCGCGGCTACGCGTCCTTTGTGAAGGCGATGCGGAAGAACTGGGCGTACCTCGTCGAAGGCGACCAGGCGCCCGTGTGGGTGGGCGAGTTCGGCGCGCCGCACCGTCCGAGTATTGGTGATGCAAACTACTGGAACAACCTGCTGCGGTACCTCAAGGTCATCGACGCCGACTTTGGGTACTGGGCCGTCAACCCGCGCAAGCCCCACGAGAACACCAAGGAGACGTATTCGCTGGTGGAGGACGACTGGGTCACGCCCGTGCTGGACTACAGGATGAAGGACATGGTCGAGATCATGCGGGCCTAGAGCGCGCCGCAGGTGGATGACCGGGAGGAGTGCTTGCTTGAGTCACGGATCACGGAGCTTTTGGAGACGGTATGCATTTGATGTCTCGATTGATATTAAAAATTAGGCGTTTGGAAGGTGAATTGGTACTTGGACGAGGTGCCAGCTTCGGATACCCGGCTACCTTTTGGTCAGGCACGAGCTAGAAACCTGACGATAGTGTGTTTGCGAAGTTTTCGTTGTACGGCAATTGGACTCATGATTATGACCTTTAACTACGAGCGTGGACTTGGACGGCTTGTGTGTGTGTGTGTGTGATCAGATTGTGACATGCAATCTGGACCGAGTCCTGTCAAACTCACCCAATGCATTGTGCATTAAGAGCCAATTCGTGCCAATTGATGCCATCAACCATCGCGAAAGCTTGCATCCACATTCCTGGGAGCTCTCAAGGCCCCCCACAAACGGCAAACCGCGTGGGCTCGATGAAACGGTTCGACCCCTCCTCTCCAGACAGCGAGAAGAAGCAGGGACCAGCGGCGGGGCGAGGGGGACGGAACGTGGAGCTCACCTAAGCTTCTTATCGATAAAGCATGGTCCTTTCCTATCGATAAGCAAATTACAGTGGGACCACCCCTCCTTGCCTCTGGTGCTCTACGTGCCGGCCGCAAAGGTGGGCAGGCGGGCGGGTTGTCGACAAACAAACCCGAAATATGATTAACGGGCGGCCTGACCCCGCTGGCCACATCTGACAACCAAACGGCTCTTCCTTCACCACAGGCACAAGGCTTCTTCTCAACCTTCTCGTACAGAACAAGAGCAAGGTTGATTTCACCGGCACACCGTTTCCCCGGAAAGCGCTTATGTCGCGCTCGAAGAGAAAGAGAGGACAGGACTCTGAGGAGTAAGTCCATGGCGGGCCAAACGGGACAGCAGCAGCGCGATCGCGGCTTCCGCGAGGCTGTGCTGGGGAGATGCTTCGTCCAGGACGCCGTGGAACGGGTGAGTTCCATCTCCATAGTGACAAGGGAAGCTGGTGGGTTGCTGAACCTCCGACCCCTCAGTTCGGCGACGGCGCCCCCGAGATCATCCGACAGCACGAGCGCGACCACATCCACCAGGTAGCGACCGAGACGATCGTCCAAGGCGTCCCGACGGACCAGATCTTCACCGGGTCGGAGCAGGACGACCCCGCGGCGGCGGCGGAGCAGCAGCCGCTGGAGAAGCACGTCCCGCGGATGCCGTATTATCGGAATAACCTGACGGCGCTGTCGCAGCGATACAATGTTGGTGTTAC